TATGGCCAACTTGACATCACTCATGCACACTCAGTCACATGACCACCACCCCAAGCCATGTGGCAATTTTTTTGGGAACTCCTATGAAAGGGGGGGGGGAGACAGGGGAAAATTTCCCAAAAATAGACAACTGGAGGATTAAGGGTCGAAATTAGGGACATCCAAGAAGGCAGGACAGAGAGGAATCCAGTAGAAAGCTATCACATGCTGGGGAAAGAACTTTGGGAGATCGGAGGAGGCAAGACAGAGGGAAATCCTGGAGAAAACCCCTGAGCTTGTCTCTGCTGTCTGGTGGATTGTGCCGCTGGACCTCTCCAGCGGGCGGGGGTGAGCGTGGAGTGACAGGGCTGGGGCAGGCATTCCGGAAGTTACTTCCGGATCCATTTCACCACCCGGTTCTCCCGATCTGGAGCAAATCGGTAGAAACCCACCACTGCAACTGCCCTTATTTGAGGAAAGTGATTTTCTTGGCATATTTTGATAACATGGCAGAAAAATACAATATGATTTTTGAAGCACTATGCTTTCTTCATGTTCTGCAGATGGGTGAAAATCCCTGTATCTCTTATGCCAGTCATCTCTAACTTGGCAGACTTGAAAGCCCAATAATTTTTCAGATTTCTCAGCCAATAACTATTGGAAAGTCAAGAATTGGAAAAAGGCGATCTTCTATATGTTTTTTCTACCCCCTCTGATTAAGTTGGCAAGAAACTACAGTGTATAAGAAATTATTACTTAGACTAGCTCATTACTCTGAATGGTCTGTGAATGCAAGAAGCTAGGATCAAATAATATAATTAAAAAACAATTATTTAAGTCCTTCCAGGCAGAGAATGATCATATATAGGAGGGTTCTTGATATTTCCATATTGAATGCTATTATTCATTTCAAACTTCAAGTGTGAGCAAGCAGGAACAGTACAAACTTGCATCCATTCTGTCTGTAGACCATAATCCATATATTAGCTGATATTCTTTTATAGAAGAATACTGGATGCTGCTTAAGTATAGTTTTAAAACTCTCAGAAGTTATCTTGTTTTAATGCTTTGCTTGATGTCTACATCAAATATGGTCTACTGGTGTTACCCCAACTTTTTTTATGTACTCCTCAGAGCCTAACATAATTGAGATTTAAAAAACTAGTATAGCCACCTGCCATTTTAAGGAAAAACATGAAACCTATAGGATTAGTTCCAAAACAGTATGTCTTAATTAAAAAGCAAAGGAGGAAAAAAAGATAATCTACAATTCTAACCTCTCAGGTCTGTGAACTCAACTCAACTCAAAAGTTTTGGCCAACAAAAGATTGCTCCCATCATTCTGTTTTACCTGTAATTCCTGGTAAACCAGTATCCCCTCTGTTTCCAGGTAGTCCAGGTACTCCAATAAGACCTGGGTGGCCTTGTGATCCACTCTCCCCTTTTCTTCCCCTCTCTCCAAGAAGACCTGGATTACCCTAGCAAGTAGCAACAAAATAAAAGAGTAACTAAAAGACCAGCAAGGGAACACCACCTGATACAAGGAAAGTATCACCAGCTTTCTATACCTTAGGTCCTGGGTTTCCTGGAGGCCCAGTACCAGGTTTAGGTTCTCCTTTATCTCCTGGAATACCATTAAAGCCAGGTGGGCCTGCTATACCTGGTGCTCCAGGCACACCTGAAGAACCTTGCTCCCCTTTATGACCTGAAACGACATAATATTGAAATGTTTTTTTCTTTGATTTATTTGAACCTTCATTGAAGAGCCCAACCATCCAAAATCATCAAGTTTATTAATGCAAATATTAAATGAGATATACGTTCTGATCTGAACTCCAAATTCTTTTTTTAAATACTTTTTTAATTTTTAATTTTCAAAACAAACACAACATTCAGATTCATGTCTATAAATCTCTATAGTGACTTGTTAGTGAAAATAAAGTTGTACTTAAATTACTATTAATGCAGAGAATTCTTGCTCTTACAGTATCATTATCCAATCATTACTCTACATGAGAGCAATGGGTCAATAGGAGGAGAATGTTAATTAAGTCAAACTGTTGAATCCAAATATGGTTTTGTGCATGAGTATTTTACCTTTGCATTTTATTTAATTGTAAAATCAGAGTAGAATTACACATGCATGCATTATACATATTTTTTATATTTTACACATGCATAAAATGTGAGCTTGACATATCTAAAGCATACAATCTATGGACAATCTCATATCCAAAGCCTGCTAAACTAAAGTTTTACTGTATTAGTATTACTATAATGATAATTTAGATACTTTAACAAGATTACCTGGCATTCCCATGTCCCCTCTGTCTCCTGGAACTCCTGGCAATCCAGAGATTCCAGGAATTCCTGAAAGTCCTTTAGCTCCTTTAGCTCCTAGAAAGATAATCAATGTTGAAATTAATTGTATAGGATTAAAATGTGATTGACCCATCTTTATCATAGTCATTACTGTGTGTTTCACAATATTTTTGGTAAGAAAAAAAAACTGTAGCCCTCAATTGTTGTTTCTTCTATCGCTTCCATCCTTCCAGTTTGTCTTCATTGAGTTATTATTCCAAGAACAATTGCTACTTCTGGAATATAATAATAGTTAGATATTGAGAGTGGTCTGATAATTCAGACATTTGAATTTACATTTGAATTAATTTAATATGAGATGTATTTATAGAGGTGTATTCATAAGCAGATTGTTCCTTTTATTAGAGGCACATATGCAATCATTGATGATTTGGTATGACATCATACCAAGCCATTGCACAAACACATATAAAGTCATAGAGACACAGTGTTAATTAGTTCTTAGTTTAACATAATTAACTGAATAACATAAATATGCCTGAGATCTGAGATCAAAGGAAACCTACATACCTGGTGGCCGAAGAGTACCTGGTGGTCCAACCGGACCCACACATCCTTGCACACCTTGATGACCTTTTTCTCCCTTTAACCCTGTTCTTCCGGGAGGTCCTACAGTGTCAATGGATAGAAATTAATAACAAAAAACCACCATTTTCTTGCTTCACAATAAAAGGCACAAAAAAAGGTTGACATGAAATGGTGAATTTGTAGTATAATCTGTTTAACTACTCGCATTTTAATAATGATAGTATCCATACATTATAATACCACAAATGAGTTTATTTTGTCCTAGTAAGTTGTATGAACTTAGCTGCTGACATACATAAAACACTATTTACAGTGTTGTCTTACTCAATAAACTGTGGTTAAATAAGTATACGTGAACCAAGCTACATCTATTCAAAAACTTAAATTACAAATTTCTTCGCTTCTAATCAACTTTAGAATATGTGAAAACGTTGCTCAGAGTTGTATTCTAAGATGGAAGCCATACAATCTTTTGAATAAAAAAATAAAATGGAACTACACAATCCATTTTTGCCACATAGACTCCAAGCATATTTCTTCTCTGGAAAGTGGATCCAGAATGATGAAATTTCTGGTGCAAAAATGGTAGGATGGCATTTAGGTCTTCCTAGTCTACTCCTCTACTCTCCTAATCTACTTTAGGGATCTGAAGGGGGGAAATGCAGTTGCAAGTCTTGGTAAGTAAAGATAATGGGTTAAATACCATTTTGGACAATGCTAATTCTATTTTGTAAGAAGCAACAGCCAGTCACTATAGAATACAGTGAACGCATAATATATATTTCATCATGAAAACCTGCAGAATGTGTAGCATAGTGATAGTATAGATTTATACCTTTACTTCCTCTCTCTCCTTTATCTCCATAGATCTCTTTGAATTCTGGAAGCCCAGGAGGACCTTTATCTCCTGGTTCACCTTTTTCTCCAAAAGATCCTTTCCTTCCTTTTGGTCCTGGAAAGCCCGGAGAACCTAGAAATAATAAAATATGATGAATTTTTTTTTAATGCTAGATGAGACTGAGAGACTCAGGAAGCAGAGAATATAGAGTTGGGTGTTTAAGCATTGAGTTCAATCTCCTGGATAGATAAAAAATCTATACTTGAATATATCTTGATTTCAGAGTATAGAGTTATAGACAGAAAACTCCAATAGTGGTATATTGTTATTCTCTCTGTTTTAAAACTTCATTCATTCATCCATCCATCCATTCATTTCCCAATTGAAACTTTTCTGTTACATCCAAAACTGGGGGAAAACCCCACAATCAGAGATTTCTTTTTGAGAACATATCGGTTTCATGCCTAAATATTTAATGACAAAAACAGTCTTGATCCTTTTGCTTGTTTACAGAGATTTCATAGATGCCATTTATTGATTTAACTTTCAAACAATTATATTAGAGGAAATAGAAAGGAAATTTGGAATATTCATGATGGCCTTATTATACTGAAAGCATTTTTTAACTAAAAAAAATCTATACTTGAATATATCTAGATTTCATTAGTTATTTTATGTCCTGTATTTCTACAGTACATACAGAAACAGATATACAAATACAAGCAATAGGACTATTATTAAACTGTTCAAAAGGCTTGACTGAAGATAACAATCTCATTTTTCCCCTCTGTAGGGGAGCAAGTAGGAAGGAAAGTAAATTCCCAAGAGAGTGTCATCCATTCTCCTTCTCTCTTTCCGTAGGGTGATGTAAATGCTCTCAAAAATCTGGAAAGCTTCTAAGAACAACAGAGAAATGAAGTTACCTGCAACCAATTATCTACTTTGTAGGCCGAGTTTTTAAAAAACCTCCTCATTCATCATTTCAACGCACAGGGACTACTTGAGAAATGACATGACAATTAAGCTGAAATGAAACTAATTAATTAAACTACTATGTTGATGGAAAACAAATGTGATTTTACTGACAGATCTTAGAATGAATCCTGTATACTTTTCATCAGTTCAAATAGTATGGACTATGGAATAATATTTTAGAACTAGAGCCCCAGGTAAGGCAAACATTGGACAACTTACCTCTGCCTCCAGGGATTCCTGGATTTCCGGAACCACCAGGCAATCCAGGGCTACCCACGTGTCCCATCAAACCTCTTTCTCCTCTGAAACCTACCAGAAATGAACCAAACACATCCATAGATATAAGAGGTATTGCCCAGACACTCAAAGGCTTTGCATGACCTTTGAAATAAAACCCAATTTTTACTTTAAAAAGAACCCCATCATTTGCATGTATGCTAATAGTGTAACATGACCTTTATTAAAATGGCAATGAATACATTAATTATATCAAGATTAATGTTGCTTAAGGGACATTTACCTGGTGTGCCTGGCGTTCCTGGTTTACCACGCTGGCCGTTGATGCCAGGCAGACCTTTAATTCCCCCGGGGCCTTGTAATCCAGGAAGTCCAAATCGTCCTGGAAATCCTGGGATATCTAATCCTGGAATACCTGGATCTCCTTTGGCTCCTATTGTTCCTCTGCTACCTAAAATAGCATACATTATCCCATTCAAATTTTCAGAAAAGAACAGGCTCCCTTTTATCACAAATGAAGGATTGCATCAGCATTTCAGTAGAGGTCACCCCTTTCTGTGGGGGCACAGAGCCTATTAACAAATTTAAAAAGTTTATTGTAATATTTTGTAATAGAAAATTTCTTACAGCCATGACAAGAAAAAGCATGTCCATTGGACAAATTCATGTGGAAAAAGCAGATCATTCCAATACTGACTTTTATCTTTGGATTGTTTCTATAAAATGTTAGAAAAAAGCAGGGGCAGAATAATTTAGCACATCACTGACATTACAGTAATAAAGTATGAATCTTCTGCCTTATCAGCATATTAATTATTGTTGTCTCTTGAAGAAGAAAATCAGATCAAACTAAAATGGTTATTTTAATCACTCGAAATATCAAAAGTGTAAAAAGTAATAATATATCACATGAAATTTCTCTGTCAGCCATTTTCTTTTAAGTATTAGAATAAATATGTTCCAGCATATTTATTGCACATATACAAAGCAAATAGTGCAAGAGAAAGTCTATGGTTTGAACCTTGAATAAAACTGATTTAAAGAATCACTAGATGATTGATCTACTAGTGCTCACTTGTATGATCTATGTGAGCAATAATGTTGCCATTTGTTTGCTGGGACATGCTTTAGGGAAACTATTGTATTTTGTTAAAATTGGCACGTATATCCTAAAATTAATTATGTTGCATCTATCTTTTTGTGCTACTGAAAGAAATGACTATTATAGTCTCTTTCTTTTGATTTTTTTCCAATTTATTGTGAGTTAAGATTTTTATATACATAACACTATAAAATGCCAAATATTTAATTAACTTGACTTGCACTGATGCAATGCCCTCCACAGTTGAATATAATTGTTACGTACCTTGCACAACTGATGTTAAGGTCATATTAGGCTATTAGAGGACTCTGTTTATTATATATCATAGTATTAAATTTTAATACATTATTGATACATCGTGTCACCATTTTTGTACATCATTACCTCGTGGTCCCATTACTCCACATTGACCTGGTGTCCCGGGTAAACCAATGAGACATTGGCCCATTTTTCCTGGAAGACCTTTTTCTCCTGGAGCTCCAGGACTTCCAAGCTCCCCTAGAAGACATTCATCATATTCAATTTATTTAAAATTTGCACCCTCCCACCTCAATTTTTTTGTTTTATATTCCAGAACACAAATCTAACTCAAACAATGTGTGTGTGTGTGGGGGGGGGGGGAGATGGGGGGGGGAGGGGAGGGAGAGAGGGAGAGGGAGTGAGTGAGAGAGAGAGTGAGATGGAATGTAAAAAATGAATGTAAGACTTTATTGATCAAGGAGAAGAAATACTTGAGAAAACCCTTCTAGGTTAACATTGGCCTCAGAGGCTTATGTAGTTCAATATTATAAGGGGACATGATGATACTTAACTACAACCAGGATATCATCAATTAGCAATTCATCTATGTTCTCCCTGGCAACTAGAAGTCAGAGCAGTTTCTTATATATAGAAACACATTTCAAGATATTTTGTGGACTGTTATTAGAATATGTTCCACAGCAGGGCATGCAAATGTTTTGGAAAAATTTCCCCTTTTAAAAGTTAAAACAAGTTGCTTCAACCCAAAGCAGTTGATTTGCATTCTGTGAATATTTTCACCATTCTGGTGTACCACAATTTCCAGAATAGCGAATTACTATTTGTTACTCTTTAATAATAAAAAGAACTAGAAATATTCCAGTGTCAAAATAATTTATAAAATAACTGCTCATGTAATATGGACTTAACTTGAAACAGGTGCTTCTGAATACAGGATGATCAAAACTAACAGGTTTTCACCATGGCATAGTTCAATTAGAGATTAATTTAATTACAAACAGAAGAGATCAGTCAGTTCCTGCTCAGTTTTGGTGAGTGGCCAAGCAGATTTCTTTGCCTCTGAAAATGTCAGCCATAGTTTGCTAATGAAATGTCAGGATATCAAATAATTTATACCATGGCCTATTAGCTCAGAAACTTATCACCACTGAATCAAAACTAACTTTTTGCACGTCTGACATCATATCATTATATGTTATAATAGTGAATTCTACTGTTGAATATGTCAAGATAATTTTGTGACTGTTTCCACAATAGCAGCTCTATGGTAGAAAGACTAAATAATTATTTTATATCTAGATATGGTCCTTTATCCAATTTTGGAGAATGTACCTTTTGGTCCATCAGCCCCTTTAAAACCTTTTTGACCTGCAGTTCCAGGTAAACCTGATGATCCTCTTTCACCCTTTTCACCCAACTTTCCCTCATCTCCTGGTAAGCCAAAACTTCCTTGCTGTCCAGGAATAACTGGACCTAGTTCACCCTGGAGCAGAGAAGGAGAAAATGTAATGTTATATCTAAGCATTAAGGGAATCAGGACAACATTATTGTTAGTTTTCTTTATATATCTTTAGCCTTTTCCATCACAAAAAAGCTATGGGACTGGAGTTAAGGATTTTACCTACCTACAGTACCTTTCCTCATTACAAATTGTTACTTTTAATATTACATATACTGTGGATATGTGTGTGTGTGTGTGTGTGAGTGTATGTGTATGTGTGTTTGAAGATTTTCACTGGTGTAGGTTTGCTGGTCTTGTTGTATTCGGGTCTTTTCCCATGTAAAATTGAGATTGTCTTGGCAACGTTTTGGTGAGGTCTCACTTGCCATCTTCAGGCTGGTGTTTTCGGCTTTGTGTTTGTGCATGTAAAGCATGGTCGGAGCTGTCGTCTTTCTATAAATCATGGTGTGTGTGTGTGTTTGTGTGTGTGGAGTGCTGGCTTTGTTTCAGTAAGTGGATTGATTGGTTGTGTGGTTGTATCATGATTGGTAGATTGTTGCTGATTGGTGCTGGCTGTATGTCCGTTGTTGCCCCACCCACCACCCAGGCCATTACAACACAAAACAACAACGGACACACAGCCAGCACCAATCAGCAACAATCTACCAATCATGATACAACCACACAACCAATCAATCACTTACTGAAACAAAGCCAGCACTCCATACACCCACCAAGATTTATAGAAAGACGGCAGCTCCAACCACGCTTTATTCACACAAACACGAAGCCAAAAACACCAGCCTGAAGATGGCGAGTGAGACCTCACCGAAATGTTGCCAAGACAATCTCAATTTTACATGGGAAACAACCCAAATACGACAAGTCCAGCATATTCATTCATTCATTCATTCATTCATTCATTCATTCATTCATTCATTCATTCATGTCTTGTTTATGTGTTATACTGAAAGTGCAGCATCACCAATTATAATGGTTAAATAAAGGAAATAGATTAATGAAATGCAGTTGTTCTTACATTAATCTATTTGTGGGAAAATAAAAACATTTGTATCATTTTAAAGTCTAACATACTTATTATAGCACAGCTTTGCAATTACTAATACCTACAATATTTCCAGGCAATAAATTGTTAAAATATATAAGAATTACATTTCATATTTAATGTATTGAAATATTTTTTTAAAGTTCATAACATCATGTATGTTGAAGAGATTCTCAACACTGAGAATATGACTCACTGACTTAAATGAACCCAACTTTAAAGCTGTATCATAACACTTCCCACACTATACAAATGTGGCTATTTCACTACCTCTTCAGTTAAATATTGCAATTTCCAGCAAGCTTCATCAGAGGATTGAATATAGATTCAGCTGGGGAAATGTAATTTATATTATCATTTCTGAAAGTTTGGTTCATGATTACAGGAGCAAAACTTTCACTGTCTGTTGTGGTGTGACAGGGACAGGAACAGGATAGGTTTCATTGTCCTATTGAGACACAGGAGGCAAGAAACCACATCTTGTGTTCCTTCCCATTTCAATTTGTATAGTCACCCATCTCACAAACAAACAACTCAGCACAATACAACAGAGCTATCAGTTAAATAGTTATCCCTTTCTAATTGCTAGGCTGGAAAACAATTTATTGAGAAGGTGACTAGTATTTTTCTAATGAAAAGAAGAACTAGGGGTGACATGATAACAGTGTTCCAATATTTAAGTGGCTGCCACAAAGAAGAGGTGGTCAACCTCCTTCAACCTCAATAATACATGGGCAAACAATAGATACTAAACTCAAGGTTAACCGCTCCAAACTCGATTGCGGAAAAAACGACTTCAGCAACAAAGTAGTCAGCGCCTGGAATGCACTGCCTGACTACATTGTTACATCTTCAAACCCCCACAGCTTCAACCTTAAACTGTCTACAGTGGACCTCACCGCATTCCTAAGAAGTCCGTAGAGGGGGCATGCATAAGCGCACCAGCGTGCCTACTGTCCCTGTCCTACTGTCCCCCATTATTTGAACTAATGTACTTGGTTCATGTCCATGTTTATACTTATACCTGTTATCTTGTACATGTTTGACAAACTAAATAAAATAAATAAATAAATAAACCCATTCTCCGAAGGACATGAGAGCAGGATAAGAAATAACAGATGGAGACTCATTAAAGACATATCCAACTTTGAAGGAATTTCCTGATAGTGAAAACAATTAACCAGTGGAAAAGCTTGCCTCCAGAAGTTGTGGGTACTCCATCACTGGAAGTCTTAAAGAAGAGATTGGACAACCATTTGTCTGAAATGGTACAGGGCCCCCTGCTTGAAGACTAGAAGACCTCTAAAGTCCCTTCCAACTCTGTTATTCTATTATCTCTGCCTATTTTAAAATGCACCTGAATAATTTGTTTCCACCTTCCCCATGTATCTCTCCCTATCTCTCTCTTTCTAAAATAATAAATTGTCAAACAAACCTTTTCTCCTGGCACTCCCGGTTTCCCAGGTAAGCCTGGTTTCCCTGCTTTTCCTACACAACCAGGTATTCCTTTAGGCCCTTGAGTTCCTTTATCCCCTATAAAAAATATTATTAAGTGGCCGGTAGTTACTAAGTTTTACAAATAACTTATGCATTTTCTGAAATTTTTATATAATTCCTACTAAAGCAGGTTTAGTAAGCATTCAAGTGCAGACATTAATCTATGTAGATTTTGCTAAGCATACATTATAAAATAATATGCAAACTCTTGCTTGCAAATTTAACAAGTATCAGTTTTATTATCATAGCAGAGAAAATAATATATATCAGAATCTCAAAAGTAACGTAAGACAAGGAAAACGGGTTTTCATTTTTATAGCAAACCCGTGGAACAAGTCAGAGAGAATTGGACCTTTTAATGTCAAATTGCTACCAATCTGCTTATTGAAAAGGATGTAGCTGCAGTATCTTAATGTAGATTATTATAACACAGACCAAATTCTGTCTTACATTTTTGCTTTGCATAAAATTTGTTACCTTTCTGACCAGGATAACCAGGAAATCCATTCTCTGCTAAGCCTGGATCCCCATCTTTTCCAGGAATACCTGGGTCGCCCCTTTGTCCTCTGGATCCCATTTTACCTATCAAAATGATAACTATCAGACACCAAAAGGATTCTATAGCTTTAAAACAACTTACAATAGTTAAAATTAAAATGCTGCTAGATTTTCGTGGGTGGTGAAGACACCCAATTCATTGATAACAGGGAAAACTACACCCCAAATATATCATTGAATAAAAGATAGTAAAAAAAAAAACCTAGTATATGAGAAATTGCACCACAGAATAAGCTGGGGGGGGGGGGCTCTCATATTTTAGTCATACTTAATTATATAATAGTTGTTTACAGTATTAGGATAAAAAATGCTCAGTATAGACTGTCCTCTGGTTTTCCTTCAGAAATATTCCAATCTCAGGATTTGGCTGAAGACTGAATTACTTGTTCATATAGCATAGCAGGCAATATTTTGGCAGCTGAGGCTATGATTTCTTTAAAATCTCATCTCTGTCATCTACAAGGGATGGTAAAATAATGCAGGGACATCAGAGCTGAGATGTTTAAATGATATCGTGAAAATGATACTACTGAAAATTGGCAGTTTGCCACCTCACACTGGCAGTCCAATTTGGAAATGCAGACTCAAAAACTATGCTCTGGGCTGGAATGGCATAAAAATCTTGCTTTTAAAAAAAACAAAACTAATGGCTAAACCATATAGGCCAAATGCTTAATTACAGAGATTACTATCATTAGAGCAAGGCAATTGCCTTGATTCATAGATACTGGGAAGGCAATTATGGAAGCCTTTTGCCTGTTCTTCTTGAATTTCCTTCTTTCCCTCTCTATGACAATTTAACAGCATATGATATATTCCTCTTTGATTATTTAAGATATCTTTCTGCCTCAGATGTAATGGAAATCATTACCATTCCCAGTGCTAGAACTATGATTCGATGCTAGTCCAGGCAATTGGCTTGATGATGGAGTTCACAGCCTTTTATTTTAATGCAGAATGTAAGCTATGCTGAAATTTGGCACTATTTGAATAATTCTTACCTCTTCTTCCTTGTAGTCCAGGTGCACCTTCTGGCCCTTGGAGCCCTGGTGTTCCAGGAATTGCCTTTACTCTAACAGGCTCCCCTTTAGAACCTTCAATGTGCATAACAAAATGAACAACATTTTAATAGCAGTTAGACTTATATACCGCTTCATAGGGCTTTCAGCCCTCTCTAAGCGGTTTACAGAGTCAGCATATCGCCCCCACAGTCTGGGTCCTCATTTCACCCACCTCGGAAGGATGGAAGGCTGAGTCAACCTTGAGCCGGTGAGATTTGAACCGCTGAACTGCAGATAACAGTCAGCTGAGGTGGCCTGCAGTACTGCACCCTAACCACTGCACCACCATTATTTTCCAATTTCAGTAAGAACAGCAAAACATACAACTTGCATTATATTATATCTTGAATTTATTCAAGCATTTATTCTAACCTGGTTCTCTTGTGCTTGTTCACTGGAATAAAATCTTGTTAATTAATGTCATTCTCAAGTCAGAATAGATGTGTTTTCCATCAGTTCTGAATGATGCTTACCCCTATCTGATCTGGTAGGATGAGCAAATATTCTCTAAATCAGGGGTCTCCAATCTTGGCCACGTTAAGCTTTGCTGGCTGAGTAATTCTGGGAGTTGAAGTCCACAAGTCTTAAAGTTGCCAAGATTGGAGATCCCTGCTCTAAATGTATTCTACACAAATATATCACAAGCAAACACACACTTTTCAGTAAGAACAACAAGGATGAAATGAGAAACTACATACCAGGTACACCTGGTAACCCAGGCAATCCAGGATTTCCTTGATGGCCTTTTGAACCATTCCTTCCTTGGGGTCCATATCCTGGTGGTCCAGTTAATCCTATCTTACCAGGAAGACCTGGGCTGCCAACAGATCCTGGTAATCCTCTGTCACCTTTTGGACCATCTGGCCCCTACAAATAATTTATAAATCTTTGTTTAGTATGCACTAACTTCCCAATACAGTAGAAGCTTATGTTGACCTATTTAGCAATGGACACACTAGTACTGGTCCTTCCTTCTGTAAGTTTCACTTAGGATCTCAAGTGATTATCCATAAGCATGATTATCTGCAATTATATTTATTGTACCTATACTTAAATATTGCAAAACATGCTTCTCTGTTTGAGAACCCTGCTAAGGTCTTCATTAAAAATATTGGTAAGGAGCCAGGAAAAAAGGGTAAGTTGAGTCATAGGTAATTTCAAAGCAGCAAATCATCTTGGCATTAAAAGTACCAAGGAAGCATGTCACATTTTAAAACCCCTCTTCCCCAAAATACAATTGTTAAAATGGCAGTTCAATAGCAAATTGAGAATGGGATTCTAAGGTCTACTTTAGTGGACTTGTATGTAGTCAAACAGTTGTTCATCCACAAGGTCGTGTATTGCTATATGAAATTAAAATAGTATTCATAGTAAGCTTGAAAAGAAGTGAATATATAAAAATCTTTCACAATTGCTTGAGTTATCTAAAACAGTGCATTTGGATGCAGCTGTTATCAGCACAGAAATACTGTAACTGACATTATAATGTTATTTTATAAATGTATTTATCTACTTGCAGGAGCTGCCCAATTCCTCAGCAATTGTAATAAAAAAAAGGACAACATATAGAAATACAAGCCAAAAAGGGACCAGGCTAACTTGAAAAAAAATATCACAAATGTGGAAGGTATGTGAATCTTTGTGGTGATGTCATTTAAGACAGGAGGCAATGCTAAAAAGAAGGCATGCTTATTGGATCTGCAAGATGACACAATTCAAACAATAAGACCTGGAGTGCACCCATCTTGCCTGACCGTACTGGAGGTGCAGAAACAATTGGAGATCCCCCATGACATGAAGAGTTTTAAAAGTGATAACCAACATTTTGAATTCTACACAGAAATAGACTAGTAATATGTTGAGCTTGCAAAGTAGTAGGTTTATGTCAGCATAACGCTGTGCTCGCTATCTGTGCTAACACACTCTGGCCTGCTGTAGCTTCTGGATGGCCTTCATGGACAGTCACACATAGCACACATTTCAGTAATATAATCAAGAGATGATCAGGGAATGAGTATTTGAACATCAAAGGTCAGTAAGAGAAAGTTTAGAAGACATTTTTGTTCAATAATATAAAAATTATAATTAAAAATGTATGTAATTGTTTATAAATTTCATATTCTTCAAATCACATAATAAGATTAAAAGAAAGAATACATTCACACAGATAATGTCTGTATCTAAAATATTAATGACCTTTGCAAGAGGGTCAAAGTAATGCACCAAGTTAAACAATGATCATCATGGAGAAAATATATGGGATTGCTAAAAGTCTATTATGACTTGATGGCAAATAATCCATCAATCCATTAAATCAAAGAATAGATCAAATGGTAAGATTGAAAAAGGGCACAACCAACCAAAATGCCATGTTACCAACCTGTGTTCCAGCAGAACCTTTTTTGCCTTTTTGTCCAGGTTTCCCAGGCATTCCATCCAACCCTTTTTCTCCTGTGTTTCCTCTGATTCCTGGTTCTCCGTTATCTCCTTTGGGACCTTCTGGATGCATTAAGTTTGCATCTCCTTTTGATCCTTTAAGACCTTGGCTTCCTGGAAGGCCTGGAAATCCCTAAACAGCATACAATTGACATCATTTATCAATAAAAGGTACATGATGCAGTTTTGCTAAAATAATATTGTACAGTAAACAAGTTATTTCTGTCAGTGGTGACAGTATCCTTAACTATGCTTGTTTGGTTAAATATATCCTTAGATGACTGGAATATGTTACATTGAGGTTAACTTTAAAACTATTCTGAAATTGCATTTGGTCCAGAACAGCACTTGAAAAACATAATTGAACAAAATACTATGACCATATTAAATATATTTTTATCAGTTGGACTGGCTCTTAGTTAATTTGCAGGACCACATTTTATTTCTTTGATATTTGAAGATTTAAATTATTTGGAATAAGTTGAGCTAGATTTTATCCTGCCTTATAGATCTAATAGATTTTAGCTTTCCAACTACAAGTGCTATAATAAATGAAATAAATGAAACCAGCTGTAATTTGGCTGGTGGGTAGCTGTGGAACAGTTTTTACTGTTACAAAAAAATTCTGGGGAGCATTGCTTTAAAATAATTTGTAGATATTTTCAATTTAATATGTGTCTGCAGAGATCCATGATCTATCAATACATCGATCCATTTAGCTCAGAAAACCCCCATTGCTTAAGATTGTAATTACATTCAAACTATTATAAAAGAGGTTCAATAAGAAACTTACTTGATCTCCAGGAGGCCCTGTATGCCCAGGAGATCCTGGGGATCCTTTAGGACCAAGTATTCCTTCCACACCTAGAATAATAAAAATACTAAGATTTAGAAATAATTTAAATTTAATAATAAATCACCATAAAGCACCTGAACAAATGCTACCACTGTTTATAAATTTTAAGGAGATAATAACAGACTGGACAAGGAACAGGAAAAATTAAAGCTGATCATAAAATATTAATATATTTCATCCCTTCTAAGAATAGAAGGTCTTGGCATTAAGATATCCTTTAAAATATGTTTTGCTTTGAAAATTCTACATTTGCTCTTTAAATGCATTATATTCTGGCAGCTTGTTAATTTATTATGCATGGCAGCATTTTGATTGTTTTTTTTTCAGGACTATTTAATGTAGATTAGTCAAAGCTCATGACACCACTCCTGCTTGAAATGTGGCATCAATTTGAAGGTTTGGCACAACTGCATCCAGGGCTGTCCTGTTGTTCCCTGGATTAGCAAAACCAGATTGCAAGATTCCATGTGACACCTGAATAACAGTAAAAGGTTAGATATTTAGTTTCACCCTCTCTTTGCAGCCTTCTAGTAAAAATCCAGACTTTTGAAGCCCAGAGTTGGCAGTCCTAGTTCAGGTGCTTCATATAAGTCTACTAAAGGCATCCTTTTTACATTGAATTCCTTCCAGTGCCCAGAAGCTTTCTGATCTTACATTTTTGTTTGATTGATTATGTCATTCCCTTTATCCAACAGTGCAATAAAGTACATTCTTTAAATTATAATCAATGGAATAGATACATAACAAAATATTTCATATTTCTATTTTTAGGTCCACCACTTCTAAAACTGCAGACTGATATATTTCAATCATTAATAATATGTAAGTATCACCTGCATTTTTTTTACCTTTCCTACCCTGCTGACCCTCTGCTCCAGCAACACCGGCAGGACCAGGTTGTCCCATAATATAAGTACATTCGGTACACGGGCCTGATTCTTCACCTACAATTACATTTGGTCACATGTGAAAAACTTGATGGGTAAATCATCACTGAATCAAAAGTGCCTTAGAGAAACCTATATACTTATCTGCAATGAAGATGAAGTACAATAATATCATAAACTTAATCAATTGGCCATTAATTTTTTGTGCTCAGCAATACAGCACTTTCTGTGAGAAGATGTCAAAATACTTTTGTACAATAATTGTAATAGCAAGCAATTTATTAAAAAATAATACTGCTCCAAACTGCAACAAGAGACATCTTTTTCGAACGAATGAAGACAAAAATACGTGTCCCAGGATAATGCTGCAGGATCCAATCTGGGTGGGTCATTGGGATGAGACGTTTTGTGTTTCAAGCTTTTGGAGTTATGGTGGATCCCATCTTCAGGGAACTTCTCTCTAGCATGAAAGCAAAAGCTCAGAAGACAAAGCCTCTGGTCCCAGTGACCAAACCAGACTGGACCTGCAGACACCTTTTAATCAGATGTTTGGTCTCCTGTTTCTCAAGTGGTGATTGTAGCACAAATGAAACTTTGCTCTGTGACCTTCACAGCAAACTTGCAAGACAATTTATTCTGAGAAACAATGACCATGCTTACAGACCACACAGAACTGCTTGTCAGTTTTCACAACACATTTCATTATTACAAATTAAGTATTTCCACTTAAGTCTAGTATGTTACATGTCCTCAGAATCCTAGTTTTATTTATTTATAGTCTCAGAGCTGAAGGTGACATACACAGCACTCATTCCAGTTTTCCCCCCCACAAAACAAAAAACAAAAAAAATGTATGAGTTAAGTTGGGTTTAGAGATAGTGATTGGCCTAAGTCATTCACTAAGCTTCCATAGCTGAGAAGAAATTTGAACCTGGGTCTTAACACTACGACTAAATGAGATTAATTCAGTCAAATATAGTCATTTAAACTGTGCATAAGTGTCTTCTGTAAATAAATCCATTCAATGTAATCTCTGCCAGCAAAATGCACCATTACGCCTTTTCCTCTACTCTCCTTTCTTCTCCCCTTCCATTCGTTTTGTAGAAGAAACTAAAATTTTTATTTTTGCTTTCCTTAAGTTCTTATGGGAGGCGGATAATGGGATTCAATAACTTCCTTATCATGGGTGAATACCTTCTTATGATACTTGGACTGATGATTACATAGAATTTACATGCAGGGATAAGGGATCAATTAAGGTGATCTATCTCATTTTTCAAAAGGCAAAGAGGAATTGCGGGAATTCTAGATGTATTTTTAGACTTCCTTTTTTAGGGTGCTAAAACTCTGTACAATTGTTCCTCCATCCTCCCTAAGAGCTAAGGACTAGAAAAACTCCCTAGTTTAAGATTTATGGGCATTAAAGAGATCAGAAGATGGATAGGGTGAAAAGTAGAAGAAATTACAAATCCATATCTTCCCAATTAAGTTTCAACAATCTGATTGCAACAAATGGCTTGGTCAATAAATAAAATGAAATGATAATACCAACAACTAAGCTATTATAAGTAATTTGGTCATTTAGACATAACTCTGCTTGAGTTGATAGAAAGAAACTGATTTAATCCCATTCATCTGTGTGCTTAGATTCTCAAACTAATAAAATTTAGAAATATATTCACAACAAAGGAGCTGACCTTTTTCTCCATCATCTCCTAATGGGCCTGGAGGACCTATACATCCTGGGCTCCCAGGAATTCCTTGTGGACCTTTTTGAAAAGTTATTGTACCTGTTTTGATGAAATAGATAAAATATAACTTTTTACGTTGTTCATAAGAGCAATGGCAGGAAATTGATATTACTTTCTGAAGTTAAAGATGAATTCATTTAATAGCATTAACAGTATAGAAGAGGAAAACCATTCCAAAGTAATTCTTGTTGGTTGAGCTTTATGTCTGTAGGTCTGAAAAGGGGGAAAAATATTTGACATGTCCATTTCATTATTCTGAGACTACTGAATATCTGCTTCCCCTGAAATAGTAAGATGAATATTGTTTTGACACAAATTCTGCTCTTATTTTAGAAAATCCTTTTTCTTTTTCAGTGTTGAAGCCTGACAAACATTTATAGACAAACCTGGGAAAGGCATTTAAATTGAAAACTAATTTGCATGGGAAATTGACGCTGGAATAATCCAGCCTGAAAATTACTAGTAAACTTTTAAAAAGAATTCCTTGGCAAGCAGATACATATATACAAAATAAAAGTATTCCAGATTAATTGAACTAGTACAGAGCTAACATTAATTTGCTTCCTGCATGGCACTCTACAGTTGAATCCCCATGACTTTCTCCACATCTTTCAAAGAAAAGAAAGATTGGACTTTGGGTATTATTAACTATAACAGCCAGATCCCTTCAGGAAGATATCTTCAGGGATGGTGTACCACCATCTATTTCAAGGCAGCTTTTATAACCTTCTACCTCAATAATGTTTGGCTATCTCTTGGATCCATACCCCCATACACTTCAGAAAAAAGTTAAGTAGTGCATAGATCAGTATAAGGGTTTGTAGTTTATCCAGCAAAATACCCTATCAATTTCTTTCAAACTGATAGGGCCAGATGAGTCCCAAACAGTGGTAGATTCCTACCATTTCGGCCTGGTTTGGCCAAACTGGTAGTGGTTTGGTGGCCTGAGTCGCTGGAACTGGCAGATACCCAGGCCTGCCATGCCCCCGAACCAGTTCTCCGGGCGGCACCATAGGCACCACCATCTTGTTTTTTGCTTCTGTACATGCGCAGAACAATTTTTATTGTACCACATATGCACATGCAGCGTGCATCAAGAACGTGTATTCACGTGCACACACGTGGTGCACCCACGAGCGAGTAGTGACTGCCGGAACCCACCCCTGGTTCCATATAACATTGCAAAACACTACTCCAATAATTCCATTAAATCCCGTCCATAAAGATCCAGACTGAGCAAGCTTGAGTGATTTGATTAACCTAAATAATTGACAGTAGCTGAAGGGAAGCTTTTGCTCCCTACTGGTGCCCACAGGGAGAAATTCACCCTAAACAATTGTCGGGGAGGACGATAATCTATCCATATGGTCAGGCAGAAGTAAGTAACCTATGCTACCCATATATTGTAAGCTCTTATATGTTGCTGCTCTTCTGCTCCAATCATCCTTTCTATTGTTTCATTGCATTTCCCAGGGCTCTTTGGTAAACCAACGATGTCCTGGTTCTGCAAGGGAGGAGGTAGCCAGAGAGCCAGGTGTCCAGCTCTTTGGCAGCTTTTACTTGGCACTACAACTACTGCTACTACAACGACGATGATGATGACGACGATGATGAAGTGGAAAAAGTTACTGAAAATGAGAAGGTGAAGATCTTGTGGGACTTTTGAATACAAACAGATTGTCATTTGGAGTACAACACACCAGATATCACAGTTGTAGAGGGCCAAAATGTACAGTTTATTGATATTGCTGTTCCAGGAGATGCCAGAATCGAAGAAAAAGAACTAGAAAAAATAATGAAATATTGCGACCTGGCCATCGAAGCTACATGGTTATGGATGAAGCATGTAACAGTGATACCCATTGTCATCGGGGCACTTGGCACTATGTCCAAGAATTTTATAAGATACATCAACAAATTGCAGCTTCCTTCAATAACACCAGCAAACTGCAAAAAAACTGCACTACTCGGAACATCTTATATTTTAAGAAGGTACTTGGTTGATACCTAGGACGTTAGCAGCAAACAGTATCAACCATTAGCATCAGTCACTGGTATTTGTAATGCATTTTTGAATGTTCAGTTGG